TTTATAGTAGAGGCAACTTCGGTGTGGTTGTGGACCACAGCGACTGTTTTGAAAAGGTCAAGATATGAAGTCATAAAAGTAGTTAATTTGATGATTCTTTGATTAGGGAATTATCGTGAAGTCTGGTGCCACATTTAAGAAGTTTGAAAGCGAGGTGGAAATAGTAGTGCACGTGGTCATAAAAAACATTTCCACATGCTAAAAAATTAAGTGGACGTGGAGCTGGGTTTTCAAAAGGCTATTATTTTCAACCAGTTGATTGAGCTGTTTTGTTTAGTTTAAATCCCATGAACAAAACCAAGTCAAGGAAATCCAGACACTCTATCGCAAAGCCGACTACCGGACCTTCATACCCAAATGAGAAAAATATTATTTCATTATTTTTACAATACCTTCAAACGATACTGTGGCTAAGAACATGAAACGCAGCAGAAGCTTATCTTACACAATTAGAGTTCATACATAGCACACAACCGATCACATGTTCATACGAAAATTGCTATGGAAATTGTGATCAGGTTTCCAGTGTTGTAGAAGGTAAAAAGAAAAACCTATTCCCAGACAGAAGTGAGATCAACGATGAGTTATTGAGTTTTGATTTTGTTTTGGGGTAGTAAATAGTCAATCATTTATTTATGCGCTTCTTAAGAAAACTAATGAAGAAAAATAATTAAAAAAATATTAAGGTGATCATCCTACGACTTCTCACACGACAACTTAATGAAGAACTCTCTGGCCTCCAGTGTAAAAGATTAAATATTTGCAAACGAAATCTCGACTAAACACTGAACATTAATTGAAATATTGAACATGACTGGAAATATTGAACATAAATAATGAGAGTGATTCCATCCTTACTGTTGAATCATATCGATTTTAACTACCTAGGACGAGAGTGAGTTAAGATTCCTATGCCCAATACGTTATTTAAATTTTTAGAGGATGCTATTTCCAGTTAAGAGCCTATGATTTCCATATGTACATAATTTAATCGTAATCCTGAGCGTTAACCTGGCCAAAAAATATACATGCAGACACTCCTAGACACTCCAAAAGTCAGGAGAGCATAAATTGAACACACATTCTCTACAATAATTCGTTGCAAATGACCTAGCATTCAGTAAATAATATCATTAATGGAGGTCTGACGAAAACATTTACTCGCGCTCACAACAGATGGCGCGCCTGATACATCATCAAAGACCTTAGGACAAATGCAAGATTAATCTTAAGGTCCACCACAAGATTAAGGGTCCACCACAAGATTAAGGGTGCGCCACAAGATGTCTCTCTTGCTCTCTTGTATAATTAAGTCATTTCACCCCCGCCGGAGAGTTTATACAACGCCGGTAATGCGCTTACACAGCAGGATGGATAATACAACATTTAATTTCAAAGCTAAATGGCTTTAGATATCGCATTAAAAGCTAAATGGCTTTAGATATCGCATTAAAAGCTAAATGGCTTTAGATATCGCATTAAAAGCTAAATGGCTTTAGATATCTCATTAAAACATAATGGAGAGAGTAACCTTTTCATTTTATTATACTTTTTTTGCGGGGCTCACTGAATGTAGATTGTTCAGGACAAAACTGAACTTTCACGTTATGCGTGACTCGTTATGCCCATCGTCACGTACCCATGGTCACGTACCCCATGGGTGCGTGACATTACTCGAGTATGCCTTGTTGAATAGCATTTTCTGGAATATGAAAATGATGTTATAAATTAAATGAATATAATTTTAAAACCTAGATTTATTTCGCACGATTTAACATTACAGTAGCAGGCCCCTTTAAACAGCACTCTCGGGAATATGAGAACGATGTTATTGAGTAAAATTAACATATGATATAAAGTAAGCAAATAACCGTAAATATATTATAGTAGTGAATATAACCGTACTCTCTGGAATACGTGAACGATTTTATTGAGTAAATTTAACTTATAATATAAAATAACTAGGTATAATAAATATAATGAATATAATTCACATCCCACCTAGTGTCTGACGAGTCCCCGTAGACCCACGCGTACGAGGTGGGCTGGGGCTGCGCCTGCACGTCGCACGTCAGCGTCACGGACGTGTTGCTGGCGACCATAGTGGCCGTCACTGCAGTACGGCCGGTCTGCAGACCACGGAGGGACATGTGGCATGTTTATTAGTGGCCGTCACTGCAGTACGGCCGGTCTGCAGCCAGAAGGGGACATGTTGGGGTTCGTTAGTGATTATTTTATACAAATTTTTATCATTAGTGAAAATTTTATAAAAATTTTTATTTCTACAGGTGCCATAATTTCTTTGTTAGCGAAGATATTGTTTTACAGGCTTGTAGTAAGAAATAAACTTTTAATGATGGTATCATTTTAGTTTCATAAGAAGTTAGCTTTTCCTGTTGTTTTGTTTGGTTGGTAGATGTGAAATATCAAATGCAAATGAATGGCCGACACATATTTTTTTTCAATAGTTTGCTTTATTTAAATTAAAAGTGTCTCTTTGGAGTTTCATACTTGAGTGATTCCATTTGTTCAGTTAACGTCATTGATGGCAGATTTTGCTAAATCGTGATTTTCTAGCTTCTAAAATTATAGTTAGTCAGTACAATTCAGGATACTCCGAATTCCAAATATAATAATTTACATTTTTGTTTTAGTTACAAAAGTGGCCTAGAATTTAACAGTTCAGTTCTTTTCGCTATTAATCAATCTAATTTCATATTTTGGGAGTACCTTCTTTCCAGCTCATAGCATTATTATTCTAGTCTCATAACGTGTATAAAACAAATTGCATAAAGTTTTTACTTGTGTACTCTTATGATGTATAATAGGCAATAAAAAAATTTATTTATTTAAATTTAAGACAAGATAATGGAAGAAAGTATTGTCGTGCCTTTATTTTCCCAAACATCCGCTCAAGTTCGCTTTAATTTCTAAGAAATAAGACGCTTTAATTTCATAGCTACTGAATTATGTATTCATTACGCGTATTTTGACAACACTTCTCTTTAACTTTACTTCTATAGTTTGTTGGTCTGCTTCAAATCTTATATAATTATTATTTAACACACTTCTAACTGTCCAATTGATCGGAAATTTTACACACTTGCGTAAAGTCGGAGACAATGCATGAATCAATGGACAGAATCAATCATTAAAATATTTTTAAACATTATTTATTTTAATATTAAAAAATCGAAATTTTTTTTATATATAAATATTAAAAAAAAAGTTTTCGAATTTTTAATAAAAAATAAAATAAGAAATTCTTTGCACATGTGTAACATAGGAGACACTGGCCTCTGTAGAAGTGTTGTCTTTAAAAAGTAATTTATGAACGCATATTATTTAAATGAAAGGAAGATTATTTAGTTATACGCAGAATACTTAGCACTCAACCTGTAAATAGTATCCGTTTGGAACAGTAGCTCTTGTAAATGCCGTGCCGAGACAGCAACCGAGTAAGTTCTGTCATTTATTTTAATTGCAGTTCTGGAATGCACAATTATCCTGCGAACTGATTTCTTTGCACGGCAAACTTCCATTTAAAGGAGTTGCGTTCTATAGGCGTGAAAGATTATTGATTCATTGAACGATGGAACTAACTAAGCAGTTTCACCTGTTCGAGGTTCACGCAAACTTTAGTACGACAATTGTTCCAAATTACGAGTGTGCAACTTCTTCGCTTGACAAGTTTCTTGGAATTTGCATGCCCAACAATAATAGAGAACCATAGTTCTACATGAATTTATAATCGTACTGGTCAAACATTAATACATTGATGCAACGCTAATTTTTTAATGTACTAATTGGCAAAAAGAGAATTTTGATAGATCGGGAAGAAATAAACTGCTCAAGCAGTAACTAATAAATTCAAATAATAACGAAATATATGGAATCAGGCTTGCTTTTCACACGAAAGCCTCGAAAACCTTTGGTTAGTGTTATTCTTTATGAGTAAAAAAATATGTTTCTTCCGCAATATTATTGATCGTACCTAATGTAACTGAAGGCCTAACCTGAGAAAAATCAATTCATCACCTAAGAGGTCAACAATGGCCACAAAAACTCATAGATACGATCAGTAATTGAGATGAAAAAATTTCTTAGCCGAGATCAGCCATGAAAAGGAATAGAAATAACAAATTTTATTTTAGCCCAGTAATTGGTTTAGAGATTTGAAGGTATTTTAGTAGTCACAATAAGTAATGAAAATCTACACATTTTCGGTCAATTATGCTATTTGAAGTGAGAAAATGACAAAAATTTCATAGCCTTAGAGACCAGAAAACATTCTAGCAACAGAACACTCACTGGTGCTCCTAGTTATTTTTTACAATATCTAGCATAAAGAGTCAAGCTTATCCTATAAGATCCCATGAGATATCACATATTAAACTATGCGTTACATAATTCAACTACCAACATCATTATAGAAACCATGACCCCGCTCACAAATTCGAGCTGCATTCCTGACCGTTGCCACACGCAGCTCAATAGGTAATCAGCGAGGTTCGGCTGAATTTGGATACCGACCAGAGGCTATTGCCTTTGCGAAGACTATTAAATTTTATCATTTTTTCATTGACATCACGAGGTTCGGTCGTCCATCTGAATTTGGATACCGACCAGAGGTTATTGCCTTTGAGAAGACTATTAAATTTTGTAATTTTTTCATTGACGGTAAGTAGCTACATCAGTCAACGCGGCTGCAGCCAAGCAGTTGTCGTAACTGTAGAGTGCTGTTAGATCAATACAGACGCTCTACGTTTCGCTATTTGCTTACCACGCAGGAGTACATAAGAATCAAGGAGCAAAATAAATGTTGTACAGACTTTTTCAAAAGTAACGCGCAGCAAAAGTAACGCGAAAGACTCACAAGTAACGCGCAGCATGAAGACGTTGGAGTGACTGAGCCATATGATGAAGAAAGACTCACAAGTAATGCGCAGCATGATGGCGTTGGAGTGACTGAGCCATATGGATGAAGCAAGACTCACAAGTTAAGACTCACAAGTAACGCGCAGCATGATGGCGTTGGAGTGACCGTCCCCCTCGGTGTTGGACGCCAGGCAGGTGTAGAGGCCAGCGTCCCGTCTCGTCACGGAGCTCAGGCGCAGAGTGTCCCGAGCGCCGCGGGTGTTCCCTGACACTTTGCCCTGAGTCGCGGATGCATGAGGTTGTTATTTAAATAACCTATATTATTCACAAGCATTAAATTATCTCAATATACAAATTATCAAAAGATATTACGTTATTTAAAAGCTGAACAAAGCAATTTTTACTGTGGGGTGGGGAAGGGGAATGACCAGATAATTGTTTTTGTGGACGATGAGCATTTTCTTTTTGGCATAAGCTGGAAAAAATTAATTATTTGTTGGTAATTACTTAAATTTCTTAGAGCTATTTTTTTGTATTCATTTTCACATTTTCAATTATTTTGTGTATCCGAACGTAGATGCGGTTTTCAGAATTATACATTTTTTATTAATGTTTGTTACATGTTCACTGTTCCTATTTCTCACTGAATAAATAAATTTGATCATTTTTCTAATTTATAATAATGATTTTATTTTTAGTTATTGATGTAAAAGTAATATTGAACTACTTTAATCCATTCCCTCCAAGGAAAAAAAAGTTTTTGGATTGACTCGAAATCGACATTATATAGTCCTTAAGACATATTTAAATTGTTTAAGAATGTGAAAAAACAATTTAATTATATTATAGAAGATTTGACCTGGAACCATATGATACCGCGAGGATGCGAGTACATTATGACTTTATCGGTTTCTTATTAATTGTTGTGTTAATAACAAATTTTGTCAGGCATCTCGTTTTAATGAAATAAAATACCATATCACCGAAAGAAATCATTGCAAATGATATGGAACAAAGCAATACGTATATGCACTTCTAGGTCCCCGCTGCATATGCAGCATTTTATTCGCATTTGCATACGGACCTCAACCTAAAGACTTTTTGGCGCTACACGATTTACCCATATCTTAGGGGCTAAATGCTTATATTTGTTACCTTTTACACCTTTACACCCACGTTTCGAAATTATTTTATCATGGCTTTGTGTTTAAACTTTTTTTCGTTCAGTTACAGATGTAACATAAATTTTCTTTTTGTATAAGAGGCCGTGAGTCCACAATTTCCAATATTTGCCCGATTTAACTATATCAACTACAGTACAATGCAACCACTTCAGGATGTTATCAAGTCTGTCTTGCCCCATCGCATGGAAACTGCTTCACTTAAAACATATGCAGACTTTTGACGAAACATTACCTTACTAGAAAAAGATTATACACTCAAAGCAATATGAAAATGATTACTCTTAGGTCGTATGTATCCACATCACATCAGGCCAATTTCTCTGTATTGCTCCTTCGGTCATTTTATCCTTCATGTACAGCGAAATAATCACCTCGTTCACCAACAATTCAACAAAGTTCTCTTGGGGGTAGTCCGAAATGCATTTAATTAATTTGCTTCAGGAGAACTCCACTGGTTACAAGCGACACTATTCTTTTTCAAACTTATTCCTTCATTCGCTTTCGATGTTGTTCTTTCCACCTCGTCAATCAAGAAACCTTAACTTGTGAACGATTATCGGCTGGATCATTTGATAAGTTCCTTACGCAAATTCAATTCTGCGGGAGCCCAGATCGATAGAGAGCCCTACGTCAAAGTTGATCTACGTTCTTGCTTCAATCTAAGTTTTGTTCATCAGATAGTCATCTCCAATGAGGTTATACACAGCAGATTGTTCAGAGAATAAGTCATTTTCATTGCTCGTTTCTATTAGATGGGCTAAGATTTCATTCAGAGAACGAGACCCGTAAAATATATACTTGATATATGATATATATATCAAGATGTATATGTACTCGAATCCTCCTAGCGGTGCGATACGTTATAACACCGTAAATAGCACGATACAAAATTCAGCATATCGTGTGAGATTTTTTTAATAAATCTTAGTAAGTTAAATAAAACTTTAGTTACGTATCTGTTGCATCACATTTTACCCCCACAAAATCTAAACAATTATTTTGATGATAATTATAGCTCACTTTTCATGTCGCGCTTTTCAATTTGGGACAGAGCTTTTTTTTTTGCCACATCTCTAAAAACCAGCACTGCAACACTGCAGTGTTAGCAATGATCTTAAATGTTGGCAACAGTGAAGAATGGTCTTGGTAAAAGGCTTGAATGCTTGGCAAACATATTTTCACGCAGCCCTTTACAATTGAGAACATTTCATTTACGAATTAATTTTATGTGGTACAATATGCTACCGCTAGGAGGGAAGGGGTTAATTTAGTAGTAAAGATATTTTGACGAAGTTTACTTTTGACCAGACCAGTTGGAGGCCAGAGACCTTCTATACGGTGAATAAAATGATTTTATTTTTACTTCTAAATTGCTGAAAGGGTTGTTAATTTCGTGACATTATTCTGGACAAATTTCTAAATTTTCTATCATATATACTTATCTTTCAGTTGAAAATTACGGATAATAATTTTTTTCTTCAATTATAAAATTTCATCTAAAACTCTTCTTTTTGAACAATTTAATATACTTGAAAAGAAAAATATACAGCGCGATACGGTAATTAACTAACTAATTATTTTGCGATTTATATTATATAATATCATTATATTCTTAATTTTCTTACGTAAAAAAATTATCGTTTCGTTGCCTTTGCACCTACATACATATATTCGTATCTGTGGATAAGAACATCACAAGTGATTTTAATCTAAATATTCGTGTTTGAAACCTGTTCAAATTCCATCTCGTCACTCCAGCTGCAATTTGAAATGTAATCAAATGACATAAGATTTTCCACTTCGAGCTATGAAGGTCATCAACGAGAAGTAAGTATTTTACGTAAGTGCATCTTAGATCGATAAAACAATGTAATTTCAATATGAGTACATTCTTATAGCTATCACACATCCTCGTTACACTTGTGTTTTTTATGACGTGAAATAAATGTTATGAGTGAGTACTATATGCATTGGATGGAAATTTTTTTCCTTGCAAAGGCTGAATGCATGGAGCCTAACTGAGGTAAGGTAGAAGAAACAAGCCACTGAACACACCAAGCACTGAACATACATAGTCTGAATACATAGAAAAATTGTACAAGGCGATGACTAACGATAGTGATTTTTACGTATAGCAGTATAACTGAGCACAGCAATACGTAGACTGACTAGTCATTTTTTCGAATGACGATGTAACTTGAACCAGGAACGTGAGGACTGCTAGTCATTTTATCGTACGATGACTTAACTTAAAGCAGGAGACTGCGGACCATCTAGTAAATTTATCGTATGATGATTTAACTTAAACCAGAAGAGTGTCGACTAACTAGTCATTTCATCATATGATGCTGCACGCAATGCAACTTTTGTCGGAAAGCGATTCCGGCCAAAATATTTATAATTATACTACGAATATATAATCTTAGAGACGTCAGGAATTCAGTGTAAAATATTAAAGATGTCCGTTTCATAAACAACACGAGCTAATCAAATAATTAACTCACGGATCAGTTAGCACGAATATTTAATCGCGTTTACCAAATAATGGGAAGTAAATACTTGAGGTGTATATTAACTGCTGGATAACCAAACTATTGAATGCATGTTCTAACTTATCAGTCGTGCTGTGAAAATAAGAACTTATTTTCAAACAGTAAAGGATTGATAGAAATTGCAGTTTATCATTACTTTAAAAAATATTAAAATTTCACTGAACTTGGAGTTAAAATTTGCATGCCGAATCATTTATTAGCCGGTGGTAGCACACATGATATTCTAAGATATTCCTCAATGTGCGGAGCGTGATGAGCGTAAAGAATTTAAATACTGAGCGTAAATTGGGTATAAAAAATTCTTAATGCTGTTTGCCCGAGGCGATGATGAATTCATTCATGCATCGTGATTTAATTCCAACACTTCGTAAAAAGCCATAATTGAGCCGTTGCTCGAGGCCGAAAAATGATAAGTTCTAGTTCAGCCAACACGGATGCCAGAACACTGAAAACTTCTCTGGTCTGATTACCTGGTGTTTATCATCCGTATTTATCACCCTTATTTATCACCCACATTTATCATACAGATTTATCACCCGTATTTATCACCGGTATTTATCACCCGTATTCACCCGTATTTATCACTGGTTTTTATCACCGGTATTTATCCCCCGTATTTATTGCCCGTATATATATCACCCGCATTTATCACCGGTATTTATCACTCAAATTTATCATCCAGATTTATCACCAATATTTATCACCAGTATTTATTACGGGTATTTATCACCCGTATTTATCGCCCGTAATTATCACCCGTATTAATCTCCTGTATTTATGTATTTATCACCTGTATATATCACCCGTATTTATCACCCGTATTCATCACTCGCATTTATCACCCGTGTTTATCACCCGTATTCATCACCCGTATTTATCACTCATATTTATCACCCGTATTTATCACCCGTAGTTATCTCCCTTATTTATCACCCGTATTTATCACCCGTATTTATCACCCGTATTTATCACCCGTATTTATCACCCGTATTTATCACCCGTATTTATCATCGAGCGTCGGACAATTTTTACCCTAATGAGGCCAACAAATTTACTCATGAAACTCAATTTAAAGTACAGCAGTAAAATTTATTATCGGTTCGAATTAAAATGAACGGCTATTAGAAAGCAAGTTTACAGCCGCTCATAAATTGCCTGACTAGAAGTAATTTTTCATGCCAACCTTTAGGCAATAATTAAATAAATCATTTTCATTCAAATAATAATTGAATAGATTATGGCTCGACGAATCTAATAGAGTTTTTATGTAGTAATTTATTTTCTGCAAATTTCTGCTGTGAAACTATAAATTCTCTACTCCTTAGAAATTTCAGTTTAAGATTGCTGACCCGATCAGTTACAGAGAAAAATAAAAGGCTAGTTTATTTTGGTAAATGAAATAAAATGATAGTTTTCGATAACGCTAAATTTCAATCCATTCCTTGACCGCTGAAATGGATACCTAACAACTGAAAAAAAAATTAATTTTGATTCTTTTCCTAACGCTACCAATTTCAACAGCCGACGGATTGCTCATTCTCTGAAATATCCTCTCATAAGGAGACAAGATGCCGCTTAACAATAAAGAATTCTTGAATTAAATAAAGAATCTGATTTAAATTGTAAATTAGCCTCCGATGGGGCAAAATACGACAATGTTATGAACCAGCATGACACAATTAGAATTCACCCATTTAATATCTAATTAAATTTTCAAGCAATAGTTGCTGGAAAGTCATTATCAGTCCAACGAAATTAACATCATTCTTGTTAATGTTGAACTTTATTTAAACTTCATCTAACTAAACTTCCTTATATTGCAAAAAACTTTCATGCAATCGGAAAGTAAATGGAAGAAAAATCCGCCTGATTTGATGTAGTTCACGTGAATCAAAAAACGCGGCTCAAAACATAAGCAAAGTTTAAGGCAGCGCAATTATTTTTACTCGGATTGGAAGAAAGCAACTCGCATCGAACGATATTGAGTGCCCGCTGGCCTTGAGCGCACAGCTGCTGCTTCATGATTGTGAGCCGTGCCCACGAACAATAAACACTGTTTTCTATATTATATAATACATGTATTGCATTTTTTAGAGCGTGTATAATATTGTAAAAGTAGTGCGTTATTTTGTATAACCCATTTATTCTAGATTTTAAGGCGTGTATAATATTGTAGAAGTATTGTATTATTTTGTATAAGCCATGTATTATATTTATTTTAAGCCGTGTATAGTTTATTTTAAGTATTATGTTGTAGAAGCCATGTATTGTAATGAAAAAGCCATGCATTATGATGTATAAGTAATGTACTATATTCTAAAAGGCATATATTATTTTTTAAAGATATAATTAATTTTGAATAAGTCAGTCATATACTATTTTGCAAAACCAGTGAATCATTTTGCAGTCAAGGCATACCCCACCACGGAGCCGTTATTAACTATCGAATTATACAGTAACTCACGTTGATCATGGATATGAGTTTTTGTTGTGAAGGTCACTATATTGACATAACTCTAGTATGGTATATATCACTAGTGACGTAACTCACGTTGATCATGAATGTGACGTTGTATAGTTAGGTTCACTATGTTGACGTAACTCTAGTATGGGATATATCACTAGTGACGTAACTCACGTTGATCATGAATGTGACGTTGTATAGTTAGGTTCACTTGTTGACGTAACTCTAGTATGGGATATATTACTAGTGACGGAACTCACGTTGATCATGAATGTGATGTTATATGGTGGAGGTCGGCTACGAGCAGCACACTTGAAGACAATTTCACCACCCTCCTTCACCATCAAACTCGCACCACCAGCGTGCGTGACGGTGTGGCCCTGCGAGCCTGTGTCCAGCACGCTCAGGCGCGCCTTCGGGACCGCTGATGACAACACAAACTTGAAATTAATTAATCCAGCATCAACTTTAATGTACTTCGTATTTTGTAAATAGTGTTAAAAAATGTTAAAGCGTTACACCAATGCTAGAGAAAGAGCAAAGCAATAAGCCGGCAAAGCAACATAAACGCCAAAGAAGCAATCTATTTGAAAACCTCTGTAACGAATATATGTTGATAGATGAAATAAACATTTTGAATGTTTTGCTAAGACAATTTGGTATGTGTCGACTGAGAAATCGATTATAACACACAGGGTAAAATGTAGTAACCTCGGTGAAAGCTTTTATTGTGAATATCGTATAAACGTTGGATTAAAACTATTACTTAAAATGCGTGCAGAAACGCATTGAAAAATTGCATGTCGTGAAAGTTCCTTCGAGTAGGTTTTATTGAAGACCGGAGAATTTGTTTCTATGATAATGATTGGATTATTTTTCCCAGTGAATCGACCAATATTTTTTGGTTGCACAGAAAAATGTTGAAATTCAGGTACTTTCAATGTTTCTTTGAAGAGTAATAGGCAACATGAGATAAGCAATGCAAAATTATACAAAAATCAAATAAATCAAGCATCAGAAATCTATAAAAAATTTTGCCTTGTACCGGCTGTCTCCTGCAATTAAGTTTTCGAAATGGATCAATTTGAACTTTGGACAATAAATCTTGTTGCCTTTCATATGCTAACAATTCAATGTCAGGCTGAGAGTGATGCACTGAGATAAAACTTTGAATGGATCAATAATTTATTCAAACGAAATTCAATCAGAGTTAAGCGCACAGAAAATGTCGCAAACACAAATGAATTCGATGCTCACAATACATGAGGATGAGGATGGACACATCGGTGACGGTTGTCTCCCGCCACTGCGGAACGTTGGCGTCACTGTTCCTNCGACACACGAAGTGCACAGCAGCGTGTGTCCCGACACACGAAGTGCACAGCAGCGTGTGTCTCGACACACGAAGTGCACAGCAGCGTGTGTCCCGACACACGAAGCGCACAGCAGCGTGTGTCCCGACACACGAAGTGCGCAGCGGTGTGTGTCCCGACACACGAAGTGCATTCCGAGCAAATTAGCTCTGCGTCTCATTTGCACGTCACTTCGCCGCGACGTCAGGAGGCTTGTTTCTTCATTAAAACAAGAGCATTTCTGCACTGCCGCCCACCACCGAGGAAAATAAGAGCATTTCTGCACAGCCGCCCACCACCGAGGAAAACAAGAGCATTTCTGCACTGCCGCCCACCACCGAGGAAAATAAGAGCATTTCTGTACTGTACAGTTGCATAAATGCATTTCAGCATTGTTTACAACCATCAAATAAAATTTTCATTCAATAACCGTCACAAAAGGTTCCCCATTTTATAATGGTAACTGTAATGACCTACATATTGCATAATAAACACAACTTATCTATGTCTACTGTCTGCCTCTATGTGTTGCTATCAAGGAAAATAATTACCTATACATCTTACCTACACTTATTTATCGCTATTGTATTTAGTTTCTTCTTATTAATGAGAGAAGAAATCTGCTACAAGAAAATCTCTTCTCGCTAACTCGCTTGTACGAGACGATCTTCGTCTCTAAGAAAACAATCCCGCTCTGTTGGCCAATAATATTTGCGAGTAAGTACGTATTTGTTTGGAGTTATCAGGTTAGCCTAGAACTGTCATTAAGTTATGTCATATATTAGTAAACAATAATTATCAATATTATAATGAATATGATCTGAACTAAGCCCGATCAAAATGTCTCATAATTGTCTTCATACATTTAATGGATAACGTGTTCCGTGAGTGATTAATCCACTAATTCTTGTGATTCTGTTTATTTTTAATTTCACGTTCATTTCTGCGTTTCCATCGCTGAATGCGGACGATGCAGTCGGATCGTTGGATGTAAATTTTGCCTTTCATGACGTGATTGATGAAGTGACGATGGGTTCGTCCTTGCCATCAGTTTCGCAAATATTTGAAGATATTTTTGTTAATTTCTAGCCCTCATTTACAGACCTGATCCAACGCAATTTTCTTGAGTTCAATTAACTAGTTAATAATAATACAGTCCCATTAGTTCAACGGTTAGATGAATTACGTGTATGACGTAAACTAATTCAATAATATTATGTACTCATCGAAGGACAAAACTAAATAAACTGAAATTTGTTGAAAATGCTAATAAAAAAGATATTTGTATTACAAATGTTGAATCATTTTTAATGCTTGTATTCAAATTCATCAATTTATGGTGTTGAAAATCTGTTAAATCTAAGATTTCGATTTAAATTTGTGCTGAAATTTAAATTTTGAATTAAACATTGATTAAATAATGTGGCATCATATATATAAGAATGTTTCAGCGGAGAGTATATATTAATCCTCGGTCGATGTAATACCAGAGGATTTAGATTAGGTGATTTACAGATGTTGGGCGTTGATTGTGGCTACGCTGATGGAGGCTTCGCAGTTGGAAGTGTTTGTAAAGTTTGCATAGTTTCAACATTAAGGCAACATTTTGCTTCAATGTTCATTAGCTTGGAAAGCGAATGAGCCTGACCATTCAAGGATAACTATCGGGAACTGGCAGAAGTCGATGGTGGTTTTATAATGAAATACTAAGCAAAATTAGTTGCAATTTCGAATATTTAAATTTGAAAGTTGTTCGTGAAAATTGCTAAGTAGCTTTTAAGTTTCGCGAATAAGTCGCTATGCAACCATTGCTTAATAGTCGTTAATAAATAACTTTATTAATTCACTCTAAAAAATGAAGGGGTCAAATTATTCGAATAGTGACACACTTTAGTATTTCTTACTTACACCACAAACAAAGAGCGGACGTAGCAATGATATGTCCTTTGACCGCGCCAAACTGTGTCACGATGACCCACACAACCGTAAAAATTCAATAGTTATTAAGGAAAAATCTCCTCGTTTATTTGAGTAATAAGTTTGCAGTAAAAACAATTGTATTGGCTGAATATTTGTGTGAATAAATACTGAAAAAATTAACTAAATTTCTCCTGGATTAAATTAACTAAATTTCTATTCATTTATCAAATAAAAATCTTAATAATTTGAGCATGAAGTACGAACAATTGTGCCGACTGTACAGTTCTTTTAATCATTACGTAAATAATGATCAAAATGAACTGAACATCAAGTTATAATTAACAATAATTAGCACAATTATCAACAATTGAGTTGGTCGTCACTCAAATAACGACTTTAATCCATAATAAATGAAGTTACAATTAACAATAATCATCACAATTATTAACAATTGAGTTAGTCATTACGTAAGTAATTATCATAATGAACTAAACATCAAGTTACAATTAACAATAATTATCACAATTATAAACAAGTTAGCCATTACCGAAGTGTGCGCTGCAGGTGAGCAGCAGGCGGTGGCCCTCTGAGAACGGCCCCACGCTGCCCCCCACGGGCCCCCCGCTCACGTCCTGCACTCGCACGTCCAATATCCTCTCTGCACGGGTAACGGGCGGGTACGGTTAACGGCCGTGTAATAGAAGGTACGGTTAACGGGCGTGTGCGGTTAACGGTCGTGCACGGTTAACGGCAGTGTATTACAAAGGTACGGCAAACGGGCGTGGACGGTTAAAATTCGTGCAATAGGTAGTTACGGTTAATGGTCATGTACGGTTAACGGCCGTGTAATAGATATAAACGGTTAACGGGCGTGCACTGTTAACGGTCGTGTAATAGAGGTACGGTTAACGGTCGTGTACGATTTACGGCCGCAAAACAGATATCAACGGTTAATGGTCGATCACGGTTAACGGGCGTGTAAGTTCAACGAACGTACACGGTTAACGGTCGGGCACCGTTAACAGTTGGCACGGCCAACGGTTGTTCATGGTTAACAGTCGTTCACGGATAATATGTATTTTTATTAGAAAATGTAAATATATGTAATTAGTAAATGTCATTTTATTAGAAAATATCCGTTAAGATATTTTGAAGTGTACAGTGCATCTGTACTCAGCTTGAAGGAACTCACCTACAACAGTGAGCTGCATTCTCAGGGTGACTGCAGGAGATATTTTGAAGTTGTGCATCTGTACTCAGCTTGGTCGTCCTCCTGCACGTATTTGATGACCAGAGTTTGCCCTTCTTCCGCCAGGGAAATTCGCTCGCTTGCCGAGACGTCGTCGCTCCATGAAATCTCGCTGTCAGAATTCGGCGTTTTAGATTTGAAGTTTCGGAGGCTGGAAGGGAGGTTGTCGCCGGGGTGGTGGTGTTGGTAGTGTTGGAATAATAGACGTTGTTCCTTCGAACCTTCAACTTCTTTATCTTCGCGGCCGTCATGACTGAATTCAGGAAAGGACAAATAAATAAACTTGCCTCGAAGAAGAATCATGCTGGAAGTAAATTTGGATTTATACATTTTTGATAGCACGGAAATTTTCAGCTGTAATTTGTCAGGCCACACTCATACTATAAAAATAAACATTAGGTAGATGTCGCTAAAAAGCTAAACTCATGGCAGGATTTGAGGTAAATTATTGAGTCGGAAGCGGAAATTGAGCCTCAAAATAACTTCAAGTGCAACAAAAGTGTTGGTAAAATTTCTAAGAATTTCGTTTACCTGTATAAAGAAAACTTTGTAGAGTAACTTTTTATTGTGTAACAGTGTAATTATATCGAAATATTCGCAGCAAAATCCACCTGTCAAAAGCGAGGAGGAGGATTGATTGTAATGCACAAATTCATGGCAAGAATGTACTCAGAATGGAGATAATGAAAAAAATTAATTGTTCATCATATAAATAATGAAAATCACCGTTGAAAGCTTAAAACCGTTAGTACAGTTTGACATGATTGACTTGAACCAAGTAAATCGTTAGGACAGTTTGACATTCTGCATAGAATAAGGGAATAAAGCCAGCAAAAATTGATGAAATTAAGAGTGGAAATTTGTCGAAGGATAACTTAAGAAAATTTTCATTTCTTAAGTTATTACACAAATAAAGTTTACTCACAAGTCCTGCTCTTGCGTGTAAACTTTATAACACAGACATTTGAACAAGACGACTCGCTCTCCACTAAGACTTCAATCAACTTAATGTCACTCGATTAAAATATATGGAAATTATGCTGTCCAGCCTTGATCGTTGCTCACTTCAATATCGTTATTGTTCCCATTACATTGGCTTGCATACTGACACTCACCGTTTTTATTAATAAAGTTTCAACAAAAATGTAGATTGTTCAAACAACTATAATCCTCATTTGACCTTTGCATCAAAACATCACCCGGCGTGATCAGGTGATGGCAGCATCAATGATTCATGATGACATGATACGACAACCTTGCTCATAAATTTCTATCGGGTTCTCTATCGCCCAGAATTTGGAATTCAATTATTGATATCGCTCATGAGGCGGAAATGAGGAACATCAATCATGATTAGGTCCGATGCGAGGCTGTGTTTTACGGTAGCATCGCGTGGCTGAAACTCACCGTTTTAGACGGTTTGGAGCAATAAAATTTTTTGATAAATATATTTCCTAACTTATTTTTAATCACGTTTCTAAAGTGTTCACTTTTCTTGAGTTTTTTACCCCGAAATTCTAAGGCGGAGCCTCATTACAGGGACACGCAAAAGGGTCCAATTCGTGTCGGACTTCGCGCACAAATTATGCTAAATGTTGTATGCAGCCTTGTCCATCGTCCAGGAAAAATTATTTCTGAATATCAACTAAACATTCGTAGCATGTGCAACGAGATTTTGAACATTGTTTCACTTTTCAAATTCTTTAAACTAAATGGTTCGCCTTTCAATAGAAAGAGCTGCCGAGAAAAATCTTCTTCCTGAGACTTGACTTTCTTATATTTCTGTTCAGAACATCTAAGGTTTCCTGGATATATATATTTTCTTACCTCTGCAATTTAAGTTCTTTTGATTACTAAACGCATCATTCCTTCTATGTTTGAATCGCAGCCTACATATTTAGCTGATTTATTATATTACCGTGTTCGCTTTAAAGTCATCCATTGAAATATATTTTAAATCAGTTAATCATTACCATTCATTGACAACAGGAAAACATTATATGCCTCATTCGTCTCATTCAGCTTCATTTTATTTTTCGGATATTTGTAAAATACTTCCTTGAAAAGTTTATAATACTTAAATTTGGCAAGGATTAACCTCCACTGACATATTAATGTATAAGCTGGCTTCCAATTTGTGCACAATAGATCACGCACAAATGTTCCTTGCAGGAAGCTAGGCTCTGCATGTCAGGCTGAGCAGCTCCCGTCTTCCTTGCTGACACGGAGGGCTACACAATCCCTCATTACAGCTCAGAGACGCAGCCCTTGAATGATGTAAGCCGCATGATATGCTGGTAATTAGAGCTAAATGTGATTTGCATCCCCAGTCTTGTCAATTGTGAGACTAATTGTAGCTATTGGAGCGCAGTCAACACTATTGGGGCCCCCAATATAATCTCCAAAAGCGCGGTCACTGTAATTGTTATTCCGATCGATGACCAGTGAGGTGACACGGAAAGTTTTTCAGTTAAGTGGCTGGTATATTTTTAACGAAATATTTGTTCGAGGTTATGAACGATTAAATTATGATGCTGATATAGTCCTCTCCTCCTCGAATCTTAAACATGGTTCAATAAAACCTGGAAGTGCTTATGGCATTGGGAACAGAAATCTATAAACCAATATGGAATAATTGTTATTACTGATTTATAATAATTTCCCACGAGATTCACTAACAATACTAAACTACACCAAATTGTTCCTGTCCTCACAAGCTCGTATCCAAAACATGAATAAATAAAACCAGGAAGTTCACGACCAAAGTTCGGAAATCTCTAAACATGAACTGAATAATATTCACCAACTTTTACTTGGTTGTCAATGATGAATTCCAGTTGGTACCACAGCACCTGAGGAAGGGTCTGGACGTATCATTCCTGTACCACAGCACCTGAGGAAGGGTCTGGACGTATCATTCCTGTACCACAGCACCTGAGGAAGGGTCTGGACGTATCATTCCTGTACCACAGCACCAGGCGCGTCGAGTCGTTGCCGTACAGCGGCTGGTGAGCGCAGGGCAGACGCGCGGTGTGGCCCGCAGACACGCGCACCTTCACCAGCGGACCTGCGGGGTGTTGGGTGGCGTGATTAAATGAATTTGTATTTTATTATTGTTATTGTATTGTTAGAAGTATTGTTACTTCTAACAATTATTAAACAATATTTGTTCATATAATGTTGTTATTATTACTTTCTAGTATATTTTCAATTGTAATTATTATTATTGAATTTTATTTTTGAATTCATATTTTATTAATTACATATTGAAATTACTTTTAATAATTATTAAACAACATTTGTTCATATAAGGTTGTTATTATTACTTTCCTTTTATTTTATAATTGTAATTATTATTATTGAATTATTTTTTCGAATTCATATTTTATTATTTACATATTGAAATTACCTCTAAAAATTAATAAACAATAATTGTTCATATAACGATGTTATTATTACTTTTCTATTATATTTATAATTGTAATTATTATTACTGAATGATATGATTATATTTTTGAATTCATATTCTATTATTTATATATTGAAATTACTGCTAACAAATATTAAACAATATTTGTTCATATAATGTTGTTTTTATTACTTTTCTATAATATATATAATTGTAATTATTATTATTGAATATATTTTTCGAATATTTACTGTATCAAATATAATAAATTACTGTAGTTCAGATTGACAGATGTTGTTAACAAAGTCAGAAGAAATGAAGCTCGGATTATTTTCGTTCAAGTCTCTAACAACTTAGACATTTCCTATTGGTCGCGAAAATATTCGTGAAGAAAACTTTATTTTTTTTCTTTGTTTTTCTTAGAATAATAAAAAAAAATAAAATTGTACGACAAGCAGTTTATTCACTGTATGACGCACTTAGAGCAGGCGCTGTCCGCAATCCTAATACTGAGATAATAGTTTAAATTACTCGTATGTTCCGGATTCTGTATGCGTGATCCTACAAAATTTCCAGAAATATGAATTAAAGCATATAAATTAGATCGAATTAAGTTCTAAAGTAACTGTCTTGGAAATCTTCCTGCAATAACAATCTTGAAATTCAATCGACATTTGCGCATGGAGCATGCAGAGAAAGGTTTAACCGTTTATTTCAATCAATTGTTAATAGTTTGTTTGCTATTATCATTATTCATCATTCCATTTTTAATTACATGTTTACTATTATGAAAATGATGATCAATTTTTGTCCGATAAATCGCGAACACTGCCATCCGTTAATATTGATCTGTGCGAGGAGTTACTTCGATCATCTGTAATTCTAATGTATTATTTATTTTAATGTTCTTACGGATGTTTGGAACTTTATAAGTTTACTTGAAAAGTTGAAGAATCCATCAACTTTTGACTTGTGAAGAATCTTAAAAACAACAATTTTTTAGACAAAATATTTATAAAAAAATTAGTTCGACTTAGTTTTGAGAATTATATTTATTGATTAGGAAAACCCGTTTAATTTGAATTTGCATATGTAATATGATTAAATGAGTGCAACAATGTTGAGAAGCATACTATAGATTCCACTGCATAATTGTCAGTTCCCAACAAATCCTAGAAACAGAATCGTGTAGCCCGTCACGAAAAGAGTGAAGCTAAAGTTAAAACCAGCAGTTCAAAACCTGCAGTTCAAAACCTGCAGTTCAAAACCAGCAGTTCAAAACCTGCAGTTCAAGACTTGCAGTTCAAAACCTGCAGTTCAAAACCAGCAGTTCAATACCTCTTCAAAACCTGCAGTTCAAAACCAGTAGTTCAAAACCAGCAGTTCAAAACCAGCACTTCAAAACCAGCAGTTCAAAACCAACAGTTCAAAACCAGCACTTCAAAACCTGCAGTTCAAAACCAGTAGTTCAAAACCAGCAGCTCAAAGCCAGCAGTTCACAGCCAGCAGTTAAAAAAATGCAGTTCAAAACCTGCAGTTCAAAACCAGCAGTCTAAAACCTGCAGCAGTTCAAAATCTACAGTTAAAAAAACAGCAGTTCAATATCTACAGTTCAAAAAACCAGCAGTTCAAAACCAGCAGTTCAATATCTACAGTTCAAAAAACCAGCAGTTCAAAACCTGCAGTTCTAAAATGCACCAATCAAGTGACGATATTAACTCCACATTCGAGACGCGCACTCTAGTGACCGCCATAAACAGAAAAACGTTGTTTGATGTCAAACGAGGTAATTCACCGGACCACGCCTAATAGCCATCATTACCGGCCGTTTGCTAGCTTTCGAATCCCGCAAAAATCGTAGCTAATTAACCAGACCTGACCAAATGAGCGACAACGCAATGAAGCTTTGAAAAATGACTTGCGTATTTAATTCTTGGCGCGATTTCAATGGACACAAGCGTGAGGTTAAACTGAAAATTTTCCATTCAATCGACGTTGTCAATTGCCAAGCTAGAACTAAGCAAATTTATTTATTCATTTTTAAATTAAAATAGACATGTGCTGTCAAAGGCTAAAAAGGAATTGTCAATGATCAACAGTCACTATTCACATCGACAACGCCCCTGCAGTTAAACGAAATGAGGAAAAGTGAAAGGAATGCCAATAAAAACATCTTATTATTGAATGAACAAGAGCGGCTGAGACAAAAAATCCCCTGATCGAGAGGAGCACTCACATTTCCATTCACTCTCTCGAGCACAAATAAATATTGACGAATATTAGTTGAGCTCAGTGAATTGAGGCAACATATGAAGCAGGTGTCAGATAAAACATGGAGAAATCGTATTTTTCGTATATTCCCTGCTACGATAATATTTCACTAGTCCTGATCACGTTTAATGATAAATGACAAACTAGTTTTGTGCATCTAATCCATCGAGATAAAAATTTCGAAAATGGGGTGAATTAGCATGACTTCCACACAGATTCAAGTCTTTCACGGCTGCCATGGCTACATGACTTTGATGGCTACCATGGCAAAAATGGACATCAGGTCTATCATAAAGTTCGTGGCTATCATGGCTAGTATGGCTTTCATGTCATGCAATTAAGGCTACGCTGGCGTGCTGTAGCTCCTGGAATAGGATTAGGATGAACAAAGCTCGCAATATTTATATATGGAGAATATCGAATGTTTCTGGTAATACGGAAGCATCAGGTGCAGGCAAGATCACACGTGTCGTATTTCTTCTGATAGGATGCGGCAAAAAAAAGAACCTTGGTCGTTCAATGAGAACGTAATAATAGTACGGACGGCGAAGTCCCAGTCTCATTCCACCAGTAATACATCGGAGTCCTGGCCTCACTCCACCAGTAATGATGCGGAGTCCTGACCTCACTCCACCAGTAATTCGGCGGAATCCTGGCCTCACTCCACCTATAATACGTCAGAGTTCTGTCCTCACTCCACCAGTAATACAGCGGAGTCCAGGCCTCACTCCACCAGTAATACGGCACATTCCTGGCCTCACTCCTCCAGTAATACGGCGGAGTCCTGGCCTCACTCCACCAGTAATACAGCGGAGTCCTGGCCTCACTCCACCAGTAATACGGCGGAGTCCTGGCCTCACTCCACCAGTAATACGGCGGAGTCCTGGCCTCACTCCACCAGTAATTCNCCTCACTCCTGTAATACGGTGGCGTCCTGGCCTCACTCCTGTAATACGGTGGCGTCCTGGCCTCACTCCTGTAATACGGTGGCGTCCTGGCCTCACTCCTGTAATACGGTGGCGTCCTGGCCTCACTCCTGTAATACGGTGGCGTCCTGACCTCACTCCTGTAATACGGTGGCGCACTGGCCTCGCGTAGCAGATCTCTAAATCCCCGTGTTATTCAATAGAGGCAATGGGGGCTCATTGATTCACATTCCGGAAGAATTGAACATCGAGTTTCATGCCGAATGTTCGTCCGGTCATCACACACACCGCCATTGCAGGGCGCAGAATTGCGTCGCCGAAATGAAACCTCCACGAACATGTACATTAAAATATTTAGATTTATGATATATTATATTGAGATAGATTATGCATCTTTATGTCAAATAAATTTATACTTTTCGGCTGTTATTTATTGAGTTGTCACGTCTCGTAAGTTTCATGTCTTGGTATTGCCGTGTAACTGTTTTTCCGCGTATTTATTTTCGAATGTTCTTCAAATAATTCAGTTAATATTAATTATTACCGTTCGATAAGCGACAACAGAAAATAAATTCATGTGGAAACTGGTAACATACTAGTATACATTTCTGCGCTCTGTTTCAGAGAAACTGCAGAATTTTTAACATATGAATAAATTAATTAAAACTGCCTCAAAAGGTCTTCCTTGATATTTTAAAAAGGTCCTTGTTCAATATTTTAGACACTCAAAGTCAAATACGCATAAAACCTCGGTTATTTCTTAGTGTCATAATTTTAAAAACGAAATAAATTTTTTTACTGGACTTCACGTGTCAGAAACCAGAACCTCTTGCGCAGGTCCACGACAGGCAGACGCTACAGCTTCACCACGAAGTTAGCCCGCAACTTTATTCCCAGCAACTCAAGTTTCGGTAAATACTCCGAAACTTTTGCGTTACTCGAGAAGTTCACTTTTCCGTCGTATGCTCTGAGCCCAAAAGTTGGTTGCGGTTCTATGCTCAATTCACTTCAAACGGTGTCACCAATTGCGTTATTTTCAAAATAAAAATTAAAAAATCAAAATTCTGGGGAAGAATTTTAGTGTTTCTTAGTCTTGGTTGACTTATGCTGTGATTATTTCCGTTATCCTATTCATTTTATATACTCGTGTAGTTGAAATTCCAGTGTAGCGGTTCAGTTTAAGATTTAAGATTTTGTATTAATACAACAAAAATATGTAGAAATTTAGAATTAGATTTAATTATAATAATGAGATTTGTTTATATCTGAACGTAACCACAATAAATGCGACAATAGCCAACTTCATTCCAGCTTTTAGTATTTTGATTTATTACACTAGAACCTCTTATTAGAGTGAGTACTTTGGCGTAGCAACGGTCATCCTGTACTAATTACTTTGTTTAATAGTTAATTTGATTTATACTGTTGATAAATGTTTTTTTATGTATTTGTATTAATGTAACTTGTAACAAACTGTTATTTATACAGAGTTCTATATTGAGACCAGAAAAAAAGCGTCTTTTATTTCCTCAAACCTGATCGTGAGATGCTTTACCAGTATTATTATCCGGCAATATTTTTCCGAAATTATTTATTATCAGGGATAGAAATTTGTTTTAATAAATGGTTGTGATAGCTCTCAAGTTCTTACTTAGTTTCATATAACGAATATTATGGTTAATATTATGTATTGGTATGATGCAATTATTTCTTTAGCAACAATCCGCCATGATGCGTTCAGTTTTTGTCATTCAGAATGAACACCAAATATTAATATGAAAAATTTAAAAAAAGAACGAAAAAGAAAAATAAGACGATAAAAAAAGTTAACGACATTCCGCATCTCTTGCATTCGATTACTCTCTCAGTCAAGATAAAATTATTATAAGATTTACTAGAACAAGAACAATCTAGAAAGCAAACTGGAATTCTAAGGGATACCATTAAAAAATTTTAACACATGTCTATTTATATATCTAGCATTTTCTCAAGCCTGATAATGTCAATAAAAAGTTTACAGCGAAAACTAAAATTATTCCCAGCTCTTTTTCAACTCCTCACTACAGTTGAGAAGGGGGCATATCAACTAATCAGAACATAGAATCTTCACAATCAAATGAGCCAACTTTATATATGTAAAATATTATCTACAACTGCATCAATATAGACTATGAATTCTATACAAATTAATTTAATCTATAAATTCCACAAAGAGTTGTTAGAAAGTATTTATTAGGTAGTGACATTTTTTAAGCTCTGAAACTTCACTTTTTTAAGCCGCAATTTTTTCAATAATGTAGCTCTCACCTCGTTTACGACTGTACTCACCTGGCTTCAATAAAGCAGTCTCCAGTTGCAAGAAAATCGACGGTTCCAACCGAACCTCGCAGACTAATCATTTTATAAGGAAATTAATCCCGATTTCTTTACATTCAATCGTTCCTGACTGAACATCAATCAACCATATTTATCAAGGTACTCACCAGTTGCAAGAAAATGCACTCTTCAAACATACCAAGTAGGCCTATAGTCCTGGTGTTAGTATTCAATCCCATTTTGTAAATAAATTAGTGATGATTTCTTTACTGCCGTTCTTTACTGAACATCTCTTTACTCGAGAGATATTCATCAAGGCACTTGCCAGTGGCAAGAAATGTACGGCTCTCAAGGAATCATGCACTCCTTGCTCAGTCATTCTATCCTTTTTCGTGTGTAATTTTGTCGTGGATTATTTACGACAGCTTTTTCCTGACACTAAACTCTACTAACCTGATATTCATCAAATCACTCACCAGTCGCAAGAAATGTACGACTCCCAACGAACCGTGCAGTCCTCGTGTCCACATTTAAAGACTCGCCTTATTGAAAAATACTTCCCTTTAACTTCACTTTTTGTTTGTCTGCTACAAATCTTATAATCAATATTTAACACACTTCTACCTCTCTAATCGATGTGAAATTTTGAAAACACTTGAGTAAAGTTGGAGACAATTCATGAATTAATTGAAAGAATAAATAATTTTTAAAAATAAAAAAATTTAATATTAAAAACTTGCAAAAAATACTTTTGTCTGCTACAAATCTTTTAATCGATATTTAACACACTTCTGCCTGTTCAATCGATCTGAAATTTTGCACACTTGCGTAAAGTCAGAGACAATGCATGAATCGATTGGCAGAACAAATAATTTTGAAATTTTAGATTTTTTAAATAAAAAACTTAAAATTATTTTTTTAATAATTGAAAATAAAATTAGAAATTCATTGTACATGTGTAACATCGCATACACTGGATTCTTTAGAAGTGTTGTCTTTAAAAAGTAATTTTTAAACGCATATTATATAAGTGAATTTATCATGATTTCTTAACAGCTGGTTTTTACAACACTGCTCTTTAACTTCACTTCTTGTTTCCTTACTCTTAACTTTATCCGACAGGTGTTCATCAAAGCACTCACCAGTCACACTAAAATTCCCGACGTCTAACAAACCAAGCAGCCCTTATTCAAGTACTCACCAACATCAAGAGTTGGGATCCTGTTTGGCTTAAGACTCACCAACATCATGAGTGGGGATCCTGTTCCCCCATTTAAAGACTCACCAACATCAAGAGTGGGGATCCTGTTTACCCATGCAGAGACTAATAACATCATGAGTGGGGATCCTGTTTCCCATTCAAAGACTCACCAACATCAAGAGTGGGGATTTCCTCAACGACGTTCACTCTGTGGGACGCGGCTTGCGGAGTTTCCGCTTCTTTGTGCTTCTTGTGTCGCTGCTGAGGAGACGGCGGAGACTTTTTCAGTCGCAGCTTCTTTCGCTGCTCCAGCAACGTCCGACCGCTGCGCTTCTGCTCGGCATTGAAGAAATTCACGGAGTTTCCTCGATTTTGAATCTTCTGTAAGATAAAAATTTCCTGCTGGGACTCGACATTTTCAGAGGCATGACTGTCAACGGGGTTCTGAATTGTCTCGACGATTGATATTTGAGGCACAAATTTTACTTCTTTATTGTCAAGGTTGCTTTCCGATCCTTGGTCCTTAAGCTGTGTTAAGGCCGACGTTTGCTGCTTGTAATCAAAGCCTTTAAATGTGTGATCTTGTTCTTTATCAAAAACATCGCGCCCGTTAATGGTCGAAATATTCTGTTTATTTTCCATGCTTTTGATGTTGAGTTCACAGAGATTCGTGCATTGGTTTCCGTCCTTCCCTGTGCTGCAATTCCGGAGCGGATTTTTAAAATCGTTCCGACTCTTAAGGTCATAAGCGGTAACGGGCAGGGTTCGTTGCATTTTAATTGAGCTTTGCACTTGAGCCTTGCGGATTATCCCTGTTTCTGAAAAGCCTGCTTCATTACCAGAAATTTTTGTGTGGTTTGTAACGGCCGCTCCATAAAGTGAAGGAATCAAAGTTGAATAGAAATCTTCACTAGACATTTGATTTTGTGTGTATTCACGAAGACTCACTTCGGACAAATTTCTTCTGAATTTCTTGGAAATAACCTGCTCGCTATGAGGAACTTCTGATCTCGATGTCTCTAGAAATTTGATTCCCGAATTCCCACTTTGCAATAACAACTCAGAAGGCAACACAAACATCGCTATTGAAGACTGCGCTGCCTCGTCTTGACTGGTAACAATAAAGCTTGTCGTTGTCATTCTATTGGTGTGCATTTTATTGCTGAAATCAACCGCATTCCCAGCTTGCCTCTGGTCGCGAAACTCTTGTGGTGCGCTCATAATGTCGCTTCTCAAGTTTTTCTGCTGAAAATAATAATGTTTCCGTGAATAATCTGAAGCAGAAAAGCCGTTACTTAACTCCTGGTACAAGCAAAATAAAAACAATATAATACTCCGATTATTCCAATTAATTTCATGGGAGCCGCGCATTCTTATTTCTGAAGGTCACTCTCATCAATATCATCACAGTAAATTTTTTCAAGTTTCACTGGGATATTTTTTCCAGCAAATATGCTCAACTTTGCGTGGCAAATTGGAATTGGAATTGGAATTCCATTTTTGGAATTTGCTTTAGGCTGTCGCGTAGACGAGAAGTTTTGGGAAGGGCGAGTTTATGTTTCTTTTCATTATTATTATCCCCTAATTCTAATGGATTGAAATGTTTTTGACAATTTATCAGGAATCAAGCAAATTATGCCTGTCTTATATTAGCCGGCACGTTTTTACCGAGTTTCAGATATCATAGTTTAAAACTTTTAATTCTGTTTGACATTTCAATTTGTTAACACCATTAACTTTGAAATAGGCTAAAAATTTCAATTCGTTATTTTAATTCGTTCAACCAAGTCCTCCAATATCAGTTGCAAATTGCCGATATTTGAGCTTAGACCACGGGGATTAATTTTCAAGCTACAAAAATAGAATTTCCTGATCGACTCAAGTTTATTAAAAGTTTACAAGCACTGTTGCATTTTCTGATGACATTTTATATAATATCTTAAACTCGATTTTCAAGTAATCTCTTCAAAATTCTATTCACTTTAATTCTGGGATTTACAACACTTGATTTATCACATAAAAATCCCAATTTACATCATATTTTTGATGTTCACATTGATCTTTCCCTTTAGAGCCTCCGCGACATGAAAATAATATCCGCCTGATATGTAGCGACTTTTAAAATTGAATACAGTTTCATTATGTTTGTTTTTGTCGCAGAATTATTTATGCACAGCCTAATATAGTGATAAACTAAATACACGTTTAATCTGAAACGAAGAATAATCAAATTGTAGAAAAACCAATCCTTCAAAGTCAATCTTGTTGGCCGCATACGACTTCTTCGTTTAAGAGCCGCTTACATATGGTTCTGTCTATCAAAATTTGCGATTGTTGGACCGTCGTTAAATATATTGATTATCACATTGTATGAAAAAATCATCATGTAGTATGCAAATTAGAGCAGTAAAAAGCTTTATATTAAAATAAATTTTTCATATCAACTTTGGTACTTGCTTTGATTACTGTACTAATTACATTATAAAATCGATGATATCATAGTTTGCAAATTTTGAAATAATCAAATCAATTAAGTGGAACAACCGTAATTTAAATGGCTAAGTGAACTTCTTGTCATAAATTATTCTTCACATACCCGGCCGTTGTTAGTCAAATTTTGTGAGGTACTTGTGAGGAGGTATTGTGAGGTACATGTGAGGAGGTATTGTGAGGTACATGTGAGGAGGTATTGTGAGGCACACGTGAAGAGGTATTGTGAGGCACATGTGAAGAGGTATTGTGAGGCACATGTGAGGAGGCATTGTGAGGCACATGTGAGGAGGCATTGTGAGGCACATGTGAGGAGGCATTGTGAGGCACATGTGAGGAGGCATTGTGAGGCACATGTGAGGAGGTATTGTGAGGCACATGTGAGGAGGCATTGTGAAGTACAGGTGAGGAGGTATTGTGAGGCACATGTGAGGAGGCATTGTGAACTACATGTGAGGAGGTATTGGTTAGAGTTCATTACTTCCTGTGTGAGAATATGTGTAAATATTCATGCATGATTTCGCAAATGCTAAAATGAATGTGAATCAAATTATCTCATCTCCCGATGGAAACGTTAGCGTCGGATGATAGCCTGAATCAATGCATTTCATCATCGCGAAGCTGAAGGAAAATTTAACGTCGGATGATGGCTTGAATCAATGCATTTCATCATCACGAAGCTGAAGGAAACGTTAACGTCGGATGATAGCCTGAAGCGAGGGCCCGACGCTGCTCCATACGCTCCAATAATCAATGTTGGCTGGTCTGTCTCAGCCCGTCAACGATGGCGTGGAATTCCAACCACGGTGCATAATGTTGATACGTTGTTTCAATTATTTCAGTTATAAACTGAACGTTGACTTCATGTTAATACGTTGATAAACTGAATGTTGACTTCGTGTTAATAAGTTGATAAACTGAACGTTGACTTCATGTTAATACGTTGACAAACTGAACGTTGACTTCTTGTTAATACGTTGCTAATGTGAACGTTGACTTCATGTTAATAGGTTGATAATGTAAACGTTAAATTCTTGTTAATACGTTGATAAACTGAACGTTGACTTCATGTTAATACGTTGCTAATGTGAACGTTGACTTCATGTTAATACGTTGATAAACTGAACGTTGGCTTCTTGTTGATACGTTGATAAACTGAACTTTGACTTCATATTAATAGGTTGATAATGTGAACGTTGACTTCATGTTAACACATTGGTAAACTGAACGTTGACTTCTTGTTGATACGTTGATAACCTGAACTTTGACTTCATGTTAATACGTTGATAATGTGAACGTTAAATTATTGTTAATACGTTGATAAACTGAACGTTGACTTCATGTTAATACGTTGATAATTGTTGACTTCGTGTTAATACGTTGATAAACTGAACGTTGACTTCATGTTAATACGTTGATAAACTGAACGTTGACTTCGTGTTAATACGTTGATAATGCGAACGTTGACTTCTTGTTGATACGTTGATAAACTGAACGTTTACTTTATTAATGCGTTGATAAACTGAACGGTAACTTCTTTTCAATACGTTGAAAATGTGAACCTAGAATTCCTATTAACACGTTGATGAAGTGAACAGGACGTTCATGTTAATACGTTAATAACGCGGAAATCATATTGATACGTTGATAACGGAAACATACGTTGATAACTTGAAGAAGAATTTTGTATTGATACAATGATAACGTTTACGTCCGCGACCTATATTAATACGTTAACATGAGAAATAAAATGAAGATTGAGCTGGATTCTATCACTCTAGAATAGCACGTTTTATGTTACTGGAGCAACAATGAATCAAATTCAAACTTTTTCCAGCATTATAGTAACGTTAGAATAATTTTAATTCAAGTTAAATTAAACTATTCTTTGTCAAATTAAAATAATTGTCTAAAATAATTTGTTAGGACAAAAAAAATCCCAACATTAACTTTCCTAGTCGACGTTCTACGTACATGGACGATAAACATGTACGCATGTTTTCAAAACGTGTACGCATGTTTTAAAAGAAGATGTATGCAGGTTGAGCCGATTACAGCTCACTAAATCTGATGCCATTCACTCGTCCTGGATCGAAATATTTCTTTGGAATTTTCCTCTGGAAGGATTTTCCTGAGCTTACGCTTTCATTTCATCAGCTCTGAAGTTTGTTTCTTAAACAATAAACAAAAAATATAGTAAAAATTATTCATTGTTCATCTTTGGAAGCGAAAAATATCGAATATATTAATATTGTATTTTTAAATATTGTTATAAGACTTATGCTGTATTGTTACAAGACTCAATTCATTTACTCAGCTACAAAAAGCGTATTATTTTAACTAATTTACTAACTAATTACTAATTTGCAATTATAATTCATAGACGTGACAAATATACAAAATCATTATTTATTTTTAGTTTACAATTAAAATAAAATCAATTTGAACACAAAATAAAAACTGCCTCTATTAATTGTAAGGAAACACACGGAATTTCGTATTTACCCGCGCTATGAATAGGATAACTTAGGCACATGTTTTGTTTATGTTAGCCCTGAAAAACCTGTCCCGCGTATCTGCTTGTAAACTCCAAAAGTGAAGATGAATTCAAGTCTTCAGGCTTGCTCGATGGATAGTTGCAACCAATGAATAATTTCTTATATAATTCATGCAATTGGACGCTCATGAAATTGCTTATTGAAAGTCTTTGACCGAGAAAAACTCATTCCGTTCTTTTCTAAAGTTCGAAGTTCTTCAATATTACACATTTTTTTATTTTGAAGTTGGAAATGCCCATAATTGAGAGCACTTTTTAGGAGCGACGACACATAAAAGACGCAATCATAATCATCATTGTATATTCATTGGCTTGGGAATCATTATGATGAACGTTAAATCTTTAGTAATTTTTTAACCTTCGAATTGCAAAGATTATTAGAAGATTAGAAAACAATTTCATATGCAGCACATTAAGCATTAATCCAAACCAATGCATTACCAACGCTCTATACTACAATTATATTCCATTGATGGGCTTAGGAAATGTCTATATTCTTATCTCTATCAACACCTTAAGCAGTAATTTCTATTCATTTATACAAGTATTTCTTTACATTTATAGGCCTATTAAGATAACCAACAAATATTTCCAT